ATACATATATATATATATATATACATACATACATACATACATACATACATACATACATACATACATACATACATACATACATACATACATACATACATACATACATACATACATACATATATACATACATACATACATACATACATACATACATACATATATATATCGATATATAAATGGTGGTTTGACCTCACGTGATGGATGACGACACGTCAACTTCGACAATAAACACCTAGCTTTATTAATCTATGAATTAATACATCATACATTCAAGCAAATTATCGATAAATGTAAATTAATGTACCGAAGTTTTCTGAACAAGCCAACAAAAGTAAATCATGCACATGAAGCATATTAATATTTGATTTATTTTACTGGTAATAACAAAGATTTATGCTAAAAAAAAAATCTCTCTGCAGTGCAAGTACCCAGAATGAGAACACCACGAACCGTTACTCACAGCAAGGAACTTCTGATGCTTCTGTTCAGGCTTCAACGCCAGGTTGGTATTTTTCAACGCTTTATTTTTGCACATAGAAATGTCTATACACTGACACATTTTTAATAGTATTGCTTCCTTGGCTTCTGTACGAGGGTAAATTTGTTTTATTACTAGATCTTGTCTAGTGTAGGTGGCAGTTGCAGAATAAAGCACAACAGCTGTCCCTGCACTTGAAACCATTTCTTTTAAGATCAATATTTCCACCATCATTTTCCCCTCTGAGGTGCGTCGCTCACGTTCATATTGCTGATTGAAAATGGGCTTTTTATTTCCAAGACCCCAACATGTACCATGGTCACACAATTTTCCATCAGGAGAAGCCGCAATTGAAGGAAATGCTGGATTACTAACTAGTCCACAGTCATGAACATGGTTTCCAGATTTATGTCTGCACATATTTCTGGCGACCTTTTCAATGGAGGTGCCTTAGCCGTCACAGCTGCTGTGAAATGTTTTGTTTTTTTGCATACTATCAATACGTTTTTTTTTTTTCATTTAGTTTTTGTTAACAGCAGCCTTCATAACAAAATGCCCCCCTGGAGCTTTCAATAGCTGCCCACTGCACCACCTAGTGGTAGATGGGTTAAATGTAGAGACTAATTTCGCCATTGTATGGAAACATACAGCGATGACAATGTGATGACATTATTATTATTATTATTATTATTCACCAAAAATTAAAGCAGTAATTAGTTTTTCCCCTCTGTGTGCCATTTCTCATTTAAGTTTGGTCACAATTGTTCATCTAATAGCTTATTTTGCCATTGCAACATGTTTAAATGTGTCCTTGCAGTCATCAACAATGCCGAGGTTCCCAGTATGATTCACCACACCCAGTAGCTTCCGTCGGTCTGAACACCGGCTGGAGTTATGTCAACTCCAAACGATATGCATTTCATGTAAACATGCTATTAGATCTGCTATGCAGTTTGTCACTTGGCGTTTGAACAATTATTTTAATTCGGTGCGTGCTTTCTATTTTCAGAGGTTTCGACGCTGGATATGCTGGCACTGCTTGCTGAAAACGAATCTTTGAAGCAGCAACTGAGAGCAGACCAAGAGAGTTACGCTCGGATGCTGTCCCAACAAGTGCTCAAAAATGAAGATCTGCAGCGAGACAATGTGAGGCTTCTGAAGGAACTTCGTGGGAGGACACAGAATAAGAATTCAGCAGCGGGCATAGTGTCAGTGGGATGCATAAGGCACAGTAAAGTAAAGGGGAAGTTCCATCAGGCTCAAATAACAGACTGATCTTGACACTCGACACCTTTTTGCCTTACTTGATGTTATTACAGTACATTTTGCACATTTTACTATGTTGTTACTTTTGCTTTTTTCACCCATTTGCAAATGTTTTTATTTCTCTGCTTGGCATTCACCCAGAAAGACCCCCGGCCGGGATTTGAACTGGGGCGACCTGCTCGTTGAGACGCGGCAGCTCTACCCTCACCCCTTCTGGGTGGAGTTTGCATGTTCTGTCTGTGCATACGTGGGTTTGCTCTGGGTACTCCGGTTTCCTTCCACAGACCAAAAACATGCATATTAGGCTGATTGGTAACTCTAAATTGTCTCTAGGTGTGCGTGAGCGAGTGAATGGTTGTTTGTCTCTATGTGTCCCGGTGATGGACTGGAGATCTGTTCAGCGTGTCCCCCGTCTCTTGCACAGTGACTGCTGGATATGGGCACCAGTGACCCCCCATGACCCGAAAAGGAAGAAGCGGGTGAAGATGATGGATGGATGCTTCACATTCATTGTGAACAGCGAAGTAACAATTTGTCATTGCTCAGGGAAACATGTTTCCAGTTGTACACGTGACATTAGCTCATAACTAAACTACCGGTACATAATGTTTTGTTTGCATATTTGCATTGTTTGAATTTTTTTACTTTCATATAAAAGCTAAACAATTAAAACAATTGTGTCAGACTTGTAGAAAATGTTTGCTGTGATCAAATTTTACTTCACCTGTTATCCACAAATTACACTACTTGAAATTTAGAGGTATGGTAAGCAGGTTTATCATTTAGTCGTTAGTTTTTTCATTCAACCTTTATTTATACAAGCTAATGTCATTGAGTTGAGGATTCATTTTCAAGAGAGGCCTGTTTTATGCTTAAAAAAACGGATGAGGTACACACAACAATAAACAGTCATAAAGCAGAAAATGTAAAGTAACAAGTGAGAACTAAATAGAAACAAGCTACATTATAAAATTAAAAATGTTCATCCAAATTAGAATAAACAGTAAATGCCTTAAATATGACTTGCACAATTGATGAAAAAGACTAAAATATCAAGATTTGTTTTAGAAATCGAAAATGAGACCTTTCCGGTGCATCTGCAGCTATTTTAAATGTTCAGTTACTTAAGCAAGTAAATTTTAATTGGAGATATTCAGTAGTCAAAAATTTAAATACAAGTCAAACACAATAATTTAAAAATAAATTTAGGTACCATGGACGGTTTTAAAATCTAAAACGTAGAGAGCGTCGTTTTATTATATGTTGCAACGATCTTCCATAAACATTTCCGATGCATATGCAGCTATTTTAAATGTTCAATTATTTTAGCTAGTAAATTTAATTAGATATTTAATAGTCAAATATTAAATACAATACATAAAAAAATATATTCAGGCATCACGGACGGATTTAAAATAGGTAAAACGTAGAGAAGAGCGTGGTTTGATTATATGTTCCAACGATCTTCCAAAATGTCCTGCTCCACTTTCAGCGGAAAACGTTTGCCTCCTTCAGCCTGAACCAATCAGAGGCGCGGAGCCTCAGAGGCGACCAGCCAATAGGAACACTCGCATGAAGAAGACGATGTGCGCCATTTTACCGCGTCCACAGTCATCCGGCAAGATGGTCCCTTTGCTTTGTCTCTCCTGACTGGAGTTTATTTCGGTTTTCTGTCTTAATTTGCTTTCAAACCATCGAACGGACGGCAAATTGTGTTGAAGTGGATTTCTTGTAACAAGAAACAATCTCGTCTCCGTCTGTCAGGAAATGACGACGGTGAAAAGCTGGTAAGAACATTGTTTATACAGTTTGTTTTTCGCATTGATGACTGTTATCTTTGCTAGCTGCGAGCTATGCTAAACGACATGTAGCTTTTAGCTTCGCACCCGGCAATGTTGAAGCGCGCACACAGGCGGATTCGGACGTTAACACGCGAGCCCTGAAATGTTAATTAAAAATACAGACAACATTAATATATGAATAATTGATGAAAATGCGCGTATTTGTGTTGTATTGTTTCACGCTAGCTGTTGAAGAGCTACTTTGGGATGCTACAAGGCTTCAGTGCCAGACTGCATGTTGCGCGCGGGTTCGTGCCAGAGAAAAGGAAGTGAAGGCCTGCATGCATTGGTGCAAGCCCATGCACTGGACCCTGCATGAACAGTCGGGAGGTGTTGCCAGGCCAAAGTGGGGGTTGTAAAATGTAGCATCAAAGCAAACCTATTGCCAAGCGCAAAAAAAAAAAAAAAATAATGTTAGCATGTAGCCGCCTGACGTCTGTGATGCTCATGAGTTTCTGTGTTGTCAAAAACTGGGAAAAGCTTTGTTGGATGAGCTGCATAGATGAAGATGCTCACAGTTCTCGGTGTGGACTGATGCTTGGCTTGTGATTTTTAAAATACTGTCAGGACCGAGTTGTATTCTAACATGACTGAGAATAAAACAGCTTGTTGCAAAACAATCAGTGTGCCTGACAGAAATGCACGTGACAGTAGTAAGATATCAGATTTAAACATGTTAATTTAACATTGAATGCACCTTTTGCATCTAATAAATAATTGAAGCCATCAGTCCTGTTGATCATTATGTTTTTAAGATGCCATGCACCTAAAAGTTTTGAGCACAAACAGTTTATAGATAGGTAGACACTTTATTATTGATCCCCCCTTCAAGGAAACAGATACATTTTTGCAGCTAATTTTCAGGGCAACAAGCAACTGTGCAAAGGCATGGTTTGTAGAATGCAGAAAATACTACATTTATCATTTACTGAGGAAATAACTGTCCATCACCCTTGAATAATATGTCAGTGTCGTTTTGTTTTATTTTACATCTTAATTATTCCTTTATTCCAGGGTTCATATGCCGTCTTGAAATGTCTGGTATTTGTTTTTAGTATTTTTCAAGTCTAAAATGTTCTGGGGAAAAATAGAATACAGAGACAGATTTGTTTCCAGGCTCCTTTTATTCAGTTTAATAAACGATTAAACTGCTTGAAAGCACAGACTCGTCTTACATGTGTTTTCTTGTTTTATGTAAAACTCAGTTGTTTTTGGAAGCACGTTTATATGGCAGCTGTGTGCGAGTGAGAATCACAGAAGACATTCTGTAAACATTTTAAAGATGTTTATAGAAGTAAAGAACAATTAATCCCATGCGTTTTGTATGCAGTTTGACAGTTAAAAAAAACTTTATTTATTTTTTCTACAAAATTTGTTTCACATTGTTAATATAAGGTATGTGTTATAACAGTTTGGGACACCCGAGTAATAGAACACTGACCACTGTAATGTTGGGGTGGGAGGGATTGAGTGGTTAAAAAATAAAATTTAGCTTTAAATTTTGTGCTGCCTGGAGCCCCAAATGTCTCACGTATGTTGTCCACATATGTTTAATCCACTTTGAATTTTGATTTTTACTTTATTAATGGGTGTACACATGTTTTATGTTATGTTTTCATTTTTACTTTATTACTATTCGCACCTTTATGTCGAAGCAAATTCCTAGTTTGTGAACCTCGTTCATTGACATGGCAATAATAAACTGATTCTGATATTCCAATTTATGAACAGTGAACATTCATACGTATATTACCTGTATGTTAGATCTTTTAGTTTACAAAAAATTAATTCACACCTCTACATTATTCCAGTAAAACTAACACTATCTCCATTTTCTTTTATATTTTCCTAAATGCTTTCCAAAAAGTCCAAATGACGGGTGAGGCAGACATAAAAATGGCAGAACTTATTCATGAATTACACAGTTTTTTGTTTTTAAAACTTGAAGGGATTGTAGAACAGAAGGCAACAAATAGAAATAAGCTGTTGAAGTAAACCTTTTGTGATTTTTCTTTTTTTGCTTGTGTTTTGATGTGTGTGTCTGGTGGATAGTGATTATCAATTCAATCTCACTTGAATTAAAAACCAAACAATTCAAATGTTTTACTAAATGATAGTTTGGCTGGTGAGTAATTTTTTTATTGTACTACCAACCCTCTAGTCTACCAGTATAATGTAAGTTTACCACTTTGTTCATGCAGAAAATAAGATGTCTAATGTTGCTGCAGGTAAAATGAGTCTGGCTACTGAATCACATCAAGACCAAATGGAAGAGAAGGGAGAGGAGGTAAGAGCGTCACCTCACTGAAAGTTGATATTTTTTAGCCTCAGTTTGAAACTTTGTTTTCACTATATTGTTGGTATAAACGTTTCTTCTCTTCCAGCCCGGGAGCTCATCAGAAAACATAAAACCATCTTCTTCTCGCAACAAAAGGTAAGGTTTTTTTTTTTGTTTGTTTATGCAGTGCTATTATTTAAGTTGCATGTCACCCTAATGCATGCTTAATAATCCAGATATAAAAATCTAACAAGGTTAAATCAGGTCCTCTGGACAGATTCTTTGTCTTTTATTCAAAAAACTTCTTCAGTCTGAGGAGCTACAACAAACTCAGCCTTATAAATAGCACCTTCAGGGCACTAACAACCAGTTACCGATGGTCCTCCTTTTACATGTGTACCGCTAGTTCTGGCTGCCAGCAGCAGACTGATTGATCAACGGTGAGAAGGTGCTATTCATAAGACTAAGTTTGTTGCAGTGCCTCAGACTGACAGTCTTTTGGATAAAGGACAAAACTTTCAATAAAGTAGAATCCATCCAGAGGACCCGAGTTAACCTTGTGAGATAAGTTACATGTTGTTTAGTCTAATAAAGTTTAATATGATCAAGTTATTTGTCAACACATTTTAGAAAGCCATCTACAGTAACAAGGCACACAGGACAGATTGCATCAGATGCCTCAGCTGACAGTGAAAATGAAGCTGCCACTTCTGACAGCAATAAAGGTAAACATTAGTAGACAATAATTATATTTAGTATGGTTATTGCTGATGCTGTAATGAAGGCTTATTTTTGTGTTACTGTCGCTTCTCTTCATAGGTACTTTAGTGATGAGACCAACTGGGAATGAAAATAAAGGTGCCATGAAGCTCAGAATTGATTTTAAACAGAAAAAAACAGGTAATCTTTTATCCTTAATAAAAATATAACATAACTTAGAAAGTTTAATTTTTTACAACTAAAGATGCATTAAATTTTACGCTAAATAATGTGGAAGGTCTCTATGAAATACGTTTTTGGGGGGGGAGAAAGATAAAAAAGTGTCTTCCCATGACAGACGATACTCTTCAGAAGAAGGTGAACTGCACCGCCTGCGGAAAGCAAGTTAACCAGTTCCAGCGAAACTCCGTGTATGAACATCCTGCCCTCAAAGTACTTATTTGCAAGGTAGAAACTTTTATTAAATGCACGTCTAACATATTTCCATGACCTCTACTTTGATGTTTTCATTTCTTTTTCAGTATTTGTAGCAATCATTCTATGTTTATTATTTTCTAGTCATGCTACAAATATTACACAAGTGACGACATCAGCAGAGATTCTGATGGGATGGATGAACAATGCAGGTACAGAATATTTAAAATAATGTGCTGAAGTAACAATTGGCGGAATAATATAATGACAAAAATCACGAGTCAACGCTTTGAAAGTCTGGTTGAAGTTTCCAAAAGAGAAAAAATATGGTTAAATGTAGATTACTGATGAAATTGTATAACGCGTGATGATTATTCATGAGTGTTGCTTGGACTGATGTTTAGCATGTTGCTCATTTTTGTATCAATAATTCTTGCAATTGTTTAGCAAATATGTTTGAAATCTCTTTATTGCACAAAGGCAATAGTTTGTAATAATAACAATACAATACATAGTATTGTACGGTACAATAATAACATGAGGGTCTATGTGTGTGCTTATTTGTTTGTAATATTAGTAATATTTATATAAACCAATAGGCAGCTTTTTAATGAAACTCAAGGTAATCATTGCTTGAACTTCTACAATTGATACATTTTAGGAGTTACCCAATTTCAAGAAGATCACTGCCATCATTCAAGCCAACACAAAAATATTTAACTCTTTCAGTTTTTCAGATATTGAACTAAAACTTGCTCAAGTAATAGAAGAGTCATCATAAACACATACTTGAAGTGTGAACAGATAATTCAAAATCTTGCAGCATTGCATGAGATTATGCACATTGTCTTGCTGCATCCCCTCTTATTATAAGATGATTTTAGTTTAAAACTTTCACATAAATGGAGGTGAGTGATATGCTTTTTTTTTTCTCCAAGGAATGTTAGGTCTTACGTGTAATTGTTTTTTTTTTCAGGTGGTGTGCTGAAGGTGGAAAGCTTATCTGCTGCGATTACTGCAACAATGCTTTCTGCAAGAAGTGCATTTCTCGCAACCTGGGCAGAAAGGAGCTGTCGAGCATCACCGATGAAAACTCAAAGTGGCATTGCTACGTGTGCCGGTCGGAGCCCCTCCAAGATCTGGTCTCCAAATGCCACCGTGTCATGCAGAAACAAGAAAATGTGGAACTCAAACAGCAAAAAACAGAACATGACAAGAAGAAGGACAAGAGCAAATCACAGAAAGAGCACAAAACAATAGTCAATGGAAAAGAACATGTTGAAGGCTCGGGAACCATGACGTTCTCCTATAAAAACCTGCAGGTACCCAAAGAACTTATAAAGAAAGCAAAGAAGCTTGTAGAAACTACAACTGGTTTGAATCATACCTTCATCCAGTTCATCCAACAAGGGACCGATAATCAGGCAGATAAGACCATAAGGTATCGGCATTTGAAGGCCTTCAAAGCAGTGCTCTCAGATTTGAAAAAAGCCCACGATGCTTTGGAGGAAGCTTTAAAGCCTGAGTTTAGACACATGGAGTTGCAGAACGGTAACGAAGAGCAACCTACGACAAAGTTCATAAGTGCTGTTGAGCCAGCAGAAAATGATCACATGGACGGTGCTGCAGATTCAGAGCTGGAGACTGATGCAGCTAAAGAAGTGGACGGAGAACAAAGTATTGAAGCAAATTCAATTTGTGAGGCAGAAGCAACTGAAAATATTGTCAAAGAGTTGCCCAATAACAAAGATTTGGTTTGTAAAGGAGACACGGCGAAGACAGCTATAGAGCTGCCTAATGAAACAGATTTATTTAATGCTGAAGCAAGGGGAGAAGAAGTCCGAGAGCAGGTTGATGAAGCCAATTTAGGTTTTAAAGCACAAGCAATGGAAGAAGATATCAAAGAGCTGCCTAGTGAAACAGATTTGTTTAGCGAAACGGAAACGATGGAAGATGTGGCTGAGGAACAGCAAGACCTTAACAACGAAGGTTCCAATCAGACAGAAATGCAAGACCACCAAACAGAAACTGATGAAACTTCAAGGGTAATTAAAACTGAGGTCTGTGACGATGGATTACTGTCAGAGGAAATGTCTTTAGATCACGACATCATGTCTGTGCCTCCTTCAGTTCCTGAGGAGCTTTTTCAGATGGTGGAGAGCCTTGCAGATTCCTCCATGCTCTCACAGACTGACAGCAGTTCGGTCAAAGATACAAAGTCAAATGAAGACTCACCAGAGTCTCAGCACCCTCCGCCAAAAGTAAGGAATTTGATAGTCAAACTGACTCCAGTACCAGTTGTGAAAAGCTGTAGGTCAAGGTCTTCTAGGTTCAAAAACAAAGAAAAAGATGCAGAGTCGCTACAAAAAAGTCAAGAAGATTCCGAGGACAATAAAACTTGTGCCTCAAGTTCTGCAGACGGGACTGAAAGCCCACCAATCACCCGCCACTCCGCTAGAGTAAAAACTACTCCTTTAAGGAAGCAGGCAGAGAATGAGAGCAAAAGAGAGTCCTCGGAGTCAGAATCAGATGAGGACATGAAGGACAAGACCAAATCGTCCAAGAAATCCAGTAGAACCACAAAAGAAGATGTGAAGTTAGGTAAGCAGGCAGAAAATGAGATCATGAAAGAGTCCTCAGAGTCAGAATCAGAGGACCGGAAGGAAAAGGATAAGTTGTTGGAAAAGGATAAATTGTCCAAGAGGTCCTGTAGAACAAAAAAAGAAGATGTGAGCTTAAGTAAGCAGGAAGAAAACGAGAGCAAGAAAAAGTCCTCGGAGTCAGAATCAGAAGACAGGAAGGAAAAAGCCAAATCATCCAGGAAATCCAGTAGAACCAAAAAAGAAGATGTGAACTTAGGAAAGCAAGCTGAAAATGAGAGCAAGAAAGAGTCGTCAGAATCAGAGGACAGGAAGGAAAAGGATAAATTGTCCAAGAGATCCTGCAGAACCAAAAAAGAAGATGGGAAATTAGGTAAACAGGCAGAAAATGAGAGCAAGAAAAAGTCCTCAGAGTCTGAATCAGAGGAAGACGGCAAGAAAAAGGTCAAATTGTCTAAGAAGTCCAGTAACACCAAAAAAGATGATGTGAAAAAGTCCAAGACTTCAGAGAATATAATAGAAGACTCCGACTCAGATGAAGTCCCTCCTGCATTGCTGGAGAAAGCTGCAACAGGCAATAGCACAGATGAGGAACAGGAATCCACAACAGCCAAAAAACATTTGGTCAAATCAAATGCATCCACAAAAGACACGGAGAAATCATCCAAACGCAAAAGAAAGTCTGAAAGCTCAGGTTCTGACGAAGAGAATAAAAACAAGAATACTTCTAAAAAAAAGAAACAAGGTGGCTCCGACTCTTCTGATTCAGACTTCGAACAGGAGAAGGGCTCAAAGTCTAAAGCACAGAAGAAAATATCTGCAACGAGAAGATCGAGTCGTGGAAAGAAACAAAATGACACAAAGGAGGAACAACAGAGCTCACCTAATAAGAAGGTTAGTCGAAAGCGGTCGTACGAAAAGAAGCGCAGAGAAAGGAGTAACAAAGCAGCACCCAAGCTACAATTCTCCTCCAGTGAGGATGAAGAGAAGGAGGAGGCTGATGAAGACTCAGGAGAGGACAGCGACGAGCAGAAAATCAAACCCATTGTGGAGGATAATGTAGTTGGAAGCACTGGAGCTTTCCATCAGTCCTCAGGTAAAGTGGTCCAACTTGGAAATCCCAGCATTAATGAAATCATGTTATAATGGAAATTAAAGCAGATAAAGATAGAAAGCAATATAAAGTGATTGTTTACTTTAAATTAGTTGTAAAGCAGATTTTTAAGCGATCTTTTTTATTGTGCTTCATTAAAACTGCATGCGTCATTCTGTTACACAGGAGATGAAGTGGATGCTAAAGGTGGCGACACTCAGATTTGTGAAGATGATGATGATGATCCTGAGAACAGGTACTCGACAAAATATCAAGGTTCTTTGTCATTCACATGTGATACATGAGGTGGAACGAAAGTGTGTACTCAAGGTCCCAGTTGCACCCAAAATATCAAAAATCTAAAGTATAAAACAAAACTGTATACAGTGATCTAAGATATACACTAAACAATAATTATGTCATAAAATATGATTTATTAAACAGCAACCTGAACATGAGTCTAGTGACCAGATGGGTATGCTTAAAGACAAGAAATCAGCAGCATGGATAATCAGCAGCCCAGATAAAGTGACATCATCAATTAAAGTGCCATAACAGTGATTTTTCTGGTTAGGGCTTTATGGGTCTTAACAACTTCAAGGTGGAAGCTGTTCCTCAGTCTAGTGGTTCTACACTTAATGCTCCTCACCCTGCTGTCTGAGGGGAGCGAGGCAAAACGTGTGTGCTGGGTGAGTGGGGTCCTTCATGATGCAGGTGGCCCTTTTCCTGTATCTGGAGGTGTAGATGTCTGATGGTGGGGAGACTGACTCCAACATACTTCTGTGCAGCCTTCACCACTCTCTGCAAAGCTTTTCTTTCTGCAGCTGTGCAGCCTCCATGCCACACGTTGATGCTGGAGCACAGGATGCTTTCCACTGCACACCTGTAGAAGGAGGTGAGGACTGAGCTTCCCAGTCCAGCTCGTCTCAGCCGCCTGAGGAAGTAGTCTCTTATGTGCACCGCAGATCCTCCTATGTTTGGGGGGGGGGGGGGGGGTGTTGCTCCATCTGAAATCCACGACCATCTCCTTCGTCTTCTTCACATTGATGTGAAGGTTGTTCTTCCTGCACCAGCTCTCCAGGAGTTCCACCTCCTGCCTTTAGCTGGACTCATTTGTGGTGCATCCCACCACACCTGTATCATCTGCAAACTTTACAATATGACAGCCTGGATGGGTAGGTGTGCATTCAAATGTGAGCAGTGTGAACCGGAGGGGGCTCAACACACAGCCCTGAGGGGAACCAATGCTGAGGGTTATGTTGGAAAAGGAGACGTTGTGGAAAACAAACTCCCCTTTCTAGTGTTTGGATGAAGCACCAGCGTGTCCTCATCTTCATTGCCACATTTAACTGAATTCTGACCAGATGCATAATGACCAAAAAGACCTCTTGCTTGTCTATTTATAAAGCAAAAGAATATCCTCCATGGTGTATAATTAAATAACTCGCGTTTGGTAAGGACAGCTGTAGTGAAGAAACTTTACCTGAACAGCGCAAATAGTGTGATGTATCATTTGTAATTTAGTCTTTTTCTATTTGTTAAAAATGTGTTTTTAACGTTTTATTTAGTTATTGTTAACATTTTGCATTTTGCCTGTTTGTCTTTTTTTTTATTCCACCAAAGGATTGCTAAAAAGATGCTCCTTGCTCAAATAAAATCCAACTACTCTTCAGGAGCAGAGAGCTCCTCTGATAACGAAGATGCAGAAATGGAAAATAAATCCTCCAAAAAAGATGAGGAGGGGGAGGATGATGACGACGATGATGATGATGATGAGGACGAGGAGGATGAAGATGAAGAAGAGGATCAATGTAGGAAATTGGCTAAATACATTCAGTAGTTTTTAAATAGACCCCTCACTTTTTTTGGTTTCAAGCTATTTTTCTTTCTCCTAAAAGCTGAAGACAAAACGGAAGACTCTTGTTCAGATGTAGAAGTGAAGAAGAGCAGCAGACGACACAAGCTGCTTCGTCATAAACTCTCCCTGAGTGAAGGTGAATCAGGGGATGAGAAATCTGGTAGCAAAGAAAAAAAGAAGCACAAGAAAAAGTCTGGGAAAAAAGGTAATTTTAAAATTATTATTACTTATAATTATTACTATCTAATATTGACACTCATTTTAATTTTGTTTCGTTTTATTTGTCAGTAAAAAGTGACGACTCTCAAGATTCAGACTTTGAAAAATCAGAATCCAGTTCTGAGTCGGGGGTGAGCGAGGAAGTTAGTGAATCTGAGAATGACGGCAAGCGTCGAAAGACCAGGTGGGCAGAGAAAACGCAGTCTAACCTGAGTTAGCTGTTAGTTTTTGCTCTTTTTGATCTGAAGTCATTAATGTTTGTTTTTGTAGATCTTCGAAGTTAAAGGAAGATGGGAAACACAGAAGTTACAAGCAGCAGAAAAAGAAGCGACGCAGAATCAAAGTTCAGGACGACTCCTCCAGCAACGAGAAGGTGTTTTAACTACTTGCTTGATAGTTTCCCTTAAAATGAGGTTTACTAGACCAGTCATGTATGGCAGGTAAAAAGTTGTTTGATCTTACCCCTGGAGTGTGTTTTTCAATGTTACTGATCATATAAAGCTGGAATGGAAAACATTTTTAACCTCGGGGTTAAAGATCAGACAGCAACACTAAATGTTCATTTCCACAGAGCGGAGAGGAAGATGGTGAGGAGGACCCAGATGGGGATGGGCGCAAAGGCCGAAAGAAAATCCGCAAAATCCTGAAGGACAACAGCCTGCGGACAGAGACGAGAGACGCTCTTAAAGAAGAGGAGGATAGGAGGAAACGTATCGCCGAGAGGGAGGCACTCCGGAAGAAACTCCGAGAGGTAAACAGCAAGTGTTTATTATATAAATAGAACGAGCTCCTAACCAGCTTGTCAAGTAATCGGTTAAAGTTTAAATTTAATTCTTTCTTTTTTTTGTCCAGAAAAATGTTAGTTGCGAGTTGTTTTTTTATGTGTATGTAAATATATGTTTATGCTATAACATATCTAGAGGGGAGAAAAAAAATTTGTTTCTAGTGTGGCAAAGCCCTAAATGGATTTTTGTTTTCAGTGTGTAAGAAAAACTTTAAGGAGGCACCTCACACTTGTGTTCACAAATGCACTATTAAACTTGTTAGTCTCGCAACTGCTTAAAACCCTCAGTTTACAACAATTTTCCCCAAAACATTTTTGTATACATGTTTTTGTAGAATTGTTTTAGGAGCAGCATTAAGTATAATTTATAGCCATGGTAAAACGGGGAAAATAATGAATGATTTTATTTATTTTTCAAAGTAAAAGTCTTTATAATATAAGGGACAGTTCATCTCTTTCACAGAGGGTTTTGTTGAAAGGTTATGAACATTTAATATCTTACCTGTTGTAGATGGCTCTTTAAAGGACCTCAGTTTGGAAAATTAATTGAATAAATTAAATATTTCTGACCAGATTGAGCTAATCGCTACTCTTGAGCGGACCACCGACCAAAGTGGGTAGCTGCCGTCTTAAAACAACTCTAATCTGAAAAGTCTTTAGTAGATCACAAGAACACTGTTTTGTAAACCTTTGTTGTTAATTAGGTCACACATGATTATTTAAATACATTTCTAAGGTTATTGGCTGTAGCGCTCCTGGTGCTTCTTGGAGTACTTTCTGACAGAATTTAATATTTCTGCCTAAATAGTCCTGTCGGATTTTAACTCTTATTTTTACAACAGTAAGATTTCCACAGAACGAAGAACCCCCACTGTAAACTATCGATTTCAACTTTATTTTGATTGTACTGATTTTGCTTAGGAATAAGAAAGCAAACACTAAGTTATGTGTTCAAATATTGACATGTCAAAATTTAAAACACACCTTCAGATGAACGGCTGTTTATTTCTGCGTCTCAACGCTCGCATGTTAAATGTTTTTTAGGTAATATTTGAATGACTTTATCTTCAGTAAAGTAATTTTTAATGTTTTTTGTTCTGTTTTGTATTTTGTCTTTAGGTGCTTGTTGTGGATGAAACATCCCAGGTGACTTGTCCCATCACCACCAAGCTGGTGCTGGATGAGGATGAAGAGACCAAAGAGCCGCTGGTGCATGTGCACAGGAACCTCGTCACAAAGCTTAAACCTCACCAGGTTGATGGTAAGTGAACGCCATGGAGAACAAAAAGGCATGACGGATGAACCAAAGGTGATTCAGACTACAGCCTGTTTTCTGTTTTGTTTCAGGGGTTCAGTTTATGTGGGATTGCTGCTGTGAATCTGTGAAGAAGATCAAGAAGTCTCCAGGTTCTGGTTGCATCCTGGCCCACTGTATGGGTCTGGGAAAAACTCTGCAGGTAGGAACTGTTCTAACAAATTTGTAATCCTGTTTGGATTTTACTTGTCCACTAATACTTTTTATTATAGGTTGGTTGGCCCTAAAATTATATCAAATTTAAAAATAAAAAAGCAGCATTGACCATAAATGTGACTGCTGTAGTTCATAATTGTGTTTTTATGAAAGTGATACCAGTGTAGCTGAACAAGTCTAAAGGCTCTCAGGTAGTCGCCCCTCGCTATGTCACAGTTCACTTATTGCAGCTTTGCTGTATGTAGGTTTTTAAACCTGATTTTTTTTTTATTGTGTGTACTGTACATTCATCTCATCGTCATACTTTTCATCAACATCTCTAAAGTGTTTAAGAGCATATGATGTGTTTATAAGAGAGTGGGAATGTCATGATTCATGCCTGTCTGTTCACCACGCCCACCTGCTCCACTGTGATCAGCATAATTCTCACCTGGTGACCGTAGCATTTAAGTGCCAGATTAGCGATTATCATATATACATCGCTTCTACTTCGCAAATTTTTACCTATCGTGGGGGACTCTAGAACGTAACCCTCGCCATATATGAGGTGTCACTGTATCTGTATTTAAGTGTTTGCTGTTCTCATGTTGTCCTGTAGGTGGTGACATTGCTCCATACGTTGCTGCTTTGTGAGAAGCTGGACTTCAGCACAGCTCTAGTGGTTTGTCCCCTGAACACCGTCCTGAACTGGCTCAATGAGTTTGAGAAATGGCAAGAAGGATTAAAGGATGAGGAGAGCTTAGAAGTGAGGAGTTGTTCTGTGAACATTTTGTTCTTTATTTGACACTAGTGTGGCACTCAACATATTGATTTGTGGTGTGCTTTAACAGGTGACAGAGCTGGCTACTGTGAAGAGGCCACAGGACCGAGCGTACGCCCTCAGCAGCTGGCAAGAGTCGGGCGGTGTTATGATCATGGGCTACGAGATGTACCGAAATTTGACGCAGGGTCGGAACATCAAGAGCAAGAAGCTGAAAGAGACGTTTCAGAAAACACTTGTAGATCCAGGTATGGTTGTTGTAAAGTGAGAATATAAACATAATAATTCTCTTTCGTCAGGAGGAGGGACAATTAACGGTTGTGATAAAGGTGTAAAACAGGAACCAGTAAGGGGCAGTGAGAGATGTGTATCTAACAACAAACTTAGGATAGTTATTTTATGATTTAAAAAAACAGGCATTGCATACACATTTCCAGAAGCAGTTCTGTGACTATCCACTTACCATAGTTGTCTAAACAATATTTTTTACCAATGCAAAAAAATCTGTTTAGTTCTCTGTAGTGTCAGGAAGTTGCAGACTTAACATCAGTGTTTAACCATTGAGGCTTTTTTCAGATGCTGTAAAATATTTTTCTTACAGAAATGGTGTTTGTTGTAATCCAAATAATCACATTAAACTAAAGAAAGCCTAAAATTCACTATCAGACAGTCAACTAATTGAACATACTTTACTGGTTCTCGTTGTGGGAAAACTCCTCTTTATATTAGCCTGAGATATATTTCAGTCTTGGTGTTGGCAATGTATTTTAAATATGTGGTATTCATCTATTTTGCCTCTTTGAAACCAACACAAAATTGTCCTTGTGTTCACTCTTTCAGGTCCAGACTTGGTGATCTGTGATGAAGGTCACATCTTGAAGAATGAAGCTTCAGCTGTTTCCAAAGCAATGAATTCCATCAAGACCAGGAGGAGGATTGTGCTGACTGGAACACCTCTACAAAACAACCTTATTGAATGTGAGACATCCTGGTTCCTCTGGATGATATGACATATGAGACAATGATCTCATTTCAATATGAAGTTTTACATGTGTGGGTGTCAGAATCCAAATGTGTGATCTTGGTCTCCTCTTTACAGACCACTGCATGGTGAACTTCATCAAGGAAAACCTTCTTGGGTCGGTTAAGGAGTTCAGAAATCGTTTCATTAATCCAATTCAGAATGGCCAGTGTGCCGACTCCACTTTTCAGGATGTCCGGGTTATGAAGAAGAGGGCTCACATTCTTTATGAGATGCTCGCTGGCTGTGTCCAGGTAAAAATCTTTTAACTTTCTGACTCAACTTCTTTTTGGCCTCCTGTATATCTGCCTCCACAAATAATGCTTTGTTTTTGCTCTCCTTCAGAGAAAAGATTACACAGCACTCACCAAGTTCCTGCCTCCCAAACACGAGTATGTGTTGTCAGTCAGGGTTACTCCGCTCCAGTGTAAACTGTACAGACACTACCTGGAGCACTTCACAGGTGAGAAACACATTTGAACCATGCTCTTTGGAACTTCTGGATGCACAGCTGGCTTTCTAATTTTTCTGTGTGTTAGAAGCAACAGGGCCTCCAGGGGCCACTAGCAAGGATTTTCCAATGTCAAGTCCAATTGTCTTAGCACCAGTTCAGCCTAATGTTGAATTAAAACAAAACTGAATATTATTAGTCGAGGACTGGGCTAAATCCTGACGGAGACCTGTTTCTAATAAAAGTGCTCTTGTTACCTTATGTCATTTCATCACAGACGGTTTTCAGATAAATAGGCTTTTCTGGACTCTTGCTTTTTCAGTGATGTATTGTTAAGTAGTTTAGTGGACTTTCCTGTCAGAATCTGGCCCAGGACGAGTGTGTGTGTGTGTGTGTGTGTGTGTGTGTGTGTATGCACAGAGTGGCAGCTGGCACTGTGCCGCAGGCGGGTTTTAAGCCCACTTTCCCACGTTTCTCCCTAATGAAGAGCTCTGGGAGAGAAGGAACAGAGAGGGTGTGGGATAACAGAGGGGGAGATGTGGGGGCATAAAAAAAGAGAGAAATCTGGAGGGAGAAGGGGCCAGAGGTTTTACACCAAAACCAAAAACAAGGAACAGGAGAGCTGGTATGTGGGGGAAGGACGGGCGGTATGTGCTGTGTCTCATTAGACCAGGTTGTCCACAGTGCTGATGTTGTGGCTGTGGTCAGTCACAGTAGGGGTCTTCAGATTAAAGACCCACCATCAGTGATCGTAGTGGAAACGGCTATGAATGTTAATTTCTTCTGCTTCTTACCTAAAATCAAACATGACCCTTGACCTGTTTTTGAAAGATGTACAGCATTTAAGCATCTGGCAGTGACTTTGACAAACAGCTGATGGAGGAAATTTAGAACTCAAAATCGGCCAACAGGTTTTAATGAAAAGAAAGAATTTAAAATGTAATTTTATTTTACTTTAAATTCATCAAGTTAAGATACCCATATATTTAAATGTTCAGGGAAAAGTTTTATTTCTTTGTCTTCTCCAAAATCATCTGTCTGTACGAAGAGGTTGAGAGCACAGTGTGCTTGAAACGACCACACATCCATCTTCCAGCTTATACTTTTTTCCCCTTGCGTGCAGGTGTGGGGAACGCTTTGGAAGGGGGCCGAGGCCGCGCAGGAACGAAGCTCTTCCAGGATTTCCAGATGCTGAGCAGAATCTGGACCCATCCCTGGTGCCTTCAGCTGGACTACATCAGTAAAGAAAACAGGGTAAGGCTGGAGAAGAAGAGACTAAACCACACAAGGAATACATGAATACAAATCACACACACAGTGGGGAAAACTGTAGTAATGTATTGCTGACAGATCAGGCTATGCTACTCCAGCAGAACTTCAGTCTTAAGGATCATTTGTGCCACCAATGATCCAGCTGTGGATCCTGTTTGGACGACTCGCTGTATGTAACCACACGTCTCACACCAGCGTGTTCCGCTACAGGGTTTCTTTGACGAAGACAGTATGGATGACTTCATCGCCTCAGAAACAGATGAATCCTCCATGAGTTTGACCTCTGAGGACGAAAAGTCAAAAAAGTAAAGACTAATGAACTTTCTCTTTTTGTTTTCTGCTTCAACCATAAATTAACTTCACCTTGTTTCGTATGTGTAACGCTGCCTGACCCTGCCTGCATTCTTTATTCCCCATTTTGAAAAGGAAAAAGAAGCAAGGCAAGGGGAAGAAGAAGGGATCGGATGACTCTGACAGTGATGATGTGGAGGTCATCAAGGAGTGGAACACAAGCTCCCGTGGCAATAAAGAAGGTCGTCGAAACCGAGAAGAGCCTGTTGAGGAATGTAAGTTTGTTCTGCGTTTCCATGCATCGCTGTAGTTTGCCTTTTGATTCAGTTTGCCATCTAGCCTCAAGTTCATTCTAGATTCCTCGATCAAAACAGACTCCGTTACCTGAGGGAGTCCTGTAGGCAGGTTATTGATGAACCTTCTGTCTAAATTTTTGTATCTCCACCAGCTCGGCCGTCTGATTCAGCTCCAGCAAGTCCCCACTCTGCTGACTGGCACAGGGAGTTTGTCACCGAGGCTGACGCGGAGATCGTGGGACACTCTGGAAAGATAACACTCCTCTTTGAGATCCTGCGCATGGCCGAGGAGGTGGAAGATAAAGTGTACGGTTGTGCTCGCAAATCTTTCCTGGCCTTTTACTGCTGTTTTTTATTATATTTTTTTTTAAGAAAAAATGATCACAATGATTATCTTGTAGCTGTAGTTTGGTTACATCAGTGTATCTTTTTTATTTCCTCAGGTTGGTGTTCAGTCAGTCTCTCATTTCTCTTGATCTGATTGAAGATTTCCTAGAGATGTCTTGCAAAATGTCAGAAGACATGGAAGAAAATGATAAACCTTCTCCCTACAAAGGTATATGATAACTTCTGTAAATATTCTGAGAACTTCTCCCAGCATTGTATGTGGTAATATTCAGCAACTATTTGATCATTCTGCTGATTTAATTATTTCAAAGTTTCAGTAATTGCTGACTAAAATTGATAAGCCACATTATAGCGCACATTTATCACCATAAAGTTTGGAGAATGCAGAAATCGTTTCACAAAGATGCAGGTTTTAGTCTTCTCAGACAATCCACATGCAACATGTATTCTCCTACATGTTCTTTACTATCCCTAAACGCACAAACAGGCGCACACATACACATCGCTGTTGTTGTAAGGTCATGTTCCTAATTAAACTCCAGCAGCTGTTTTTGCTTTTATTTTGAAAATGATTAGACCTTGACTTTTTATTCCACAAAAAAAAAGTTTGCTCAAGGGTTTGTAATTTGTAATGAAAAGATCACAGTGCCGTAATTGGAAACATACTGAAATGTTGGTTATGAAGGCTGGTTGGAGGGGGGAGTTGGCCATGTTGAATGCTAAACACAGCTGGCTGTGAACCAACACAGCCATCTATTTGTTGACTGATAATACCCAAACAAAATGTTTTCTTGAGAAGAAAAAGATGCGGCTGATGATGACTTGTGCTGTTAAAAATTTAGCTTAGATGGTGAAAAGCTGTCAAAGCTCTTTAATCTAATTTTTTTTAAGGTGAAGGCAAATGGTTCAGGAACATTGACTATTATCGTCTGGATGGTTCCACCAATGCTCCCACCAGGAAGAAGTGGGCTGAAGAGTTCAATGACACCAGTAACACAAGGTGCGGTGCATTCAACAAATTGAAAAACAAAACTGTGAAATCACATTTAAAAAAGTCAAAATAATGATTTCAAAGACATTTGAAGCAAAAAAAAAAAAAAGTTCCATTTAAAATTCTGAGTATTTCCATCCCCTCTTCTTTCGCCCACAGAGGTCGTTTGTTCCTCATATCGACGCGAGCTGGTTCACTCGGCATCAATCTGGTGGCTGCCAACAGGGTCATCATCTTTGACGCCTCCTGGAACCCCTCGTACGACGTCCAGAGTATCTTCAGAGTTTATCGCTTCGGTCAGGTCAAACCTGTTTACGTCTACAGGTTCCTCGCCCAGGTGAGCTGTTTAACCCCATAAACAATCATTTCTGTGACCAAAGTATAGGTGTAAAAATTTAAAACTTTCAGTCTACCACCAAATGAGAGTGTACAGTAGTCCTTTGTTTATTGCGGGGATCATGTTCCAGACTCCCCGCAATAAGTGAAAATTTGCGAAGTAGCAACATTATATTTATTTTAGTATTTATATCTATATCAAGGCTTTATAAACCCTTCCCACACTCTTGTAATGTTCTAAACTCTTAAACCTATGTCATTTTAACGTACAGTATAGTATATGTAGCTACTTAATTTTACTCACCAGTTAGCAGAACAGCAGCAGCTTGGTTCCATTTCGATGGACCTACCCTGCCGGTTCTGGTCAGTTCTCTGGCTCGAGGTAATGGCGGTGGGCTCCAGAGAGAACGCCTGACGTACGGCGGCACGTCCCTGCTCTGAAGTTGGTCGGCTACCAGCTCTCGGGTTCACCGATGGGTCTGGAGGTCCCGTTCTGTGCTGCCCTTGAGCACTGAAGCACATTTTGGGGAAGGGGACCTTCAGATGGCCAACACAAGACCAAACTGAGTCCAAATCTGGATGACAAAAAGTCCCGGTGTGCTCCAGAGAGTAGCTGGACCTACGGCTGCTCACCCCTGCTCGGAAGTCCTTGTGGGCCAGCTACCAGCTCTTGGGTTCACCAGTGAGTGGAGGTCCGGTTCTGCTCCAGTTCTGTGTGGTTCTCTGAATCCGCTGGGTGCCAAAGTCACTGTAAATGACTGAAATTTCACGGATTAGATCAAAACTTTCCCTCTAGTATTTCAGCAGAAGGCACAGTGTCTTCTGGGCGGGGCACTGTTGGCTTCTGGGAAATGCGGTCCTTATGAGCAGTGATGCAGTGTATGCTTATTGAGAGAAAACTACAAAATGGTGGCGCCTGTCCAAAGTATTTTATTTTTCCCTTAACTTTTTACTGTACAGTATCCAGTACTGTCCCAGTCACGTGAGTAATATTAAAGTTGACAATCGTGTCGTGTGCAATTTATTTATTTATTTTTGTTCAATCTTACTTTGAAAAGCCACGAAAGAGCGAGTCCGTGAAAATCGAACAGCGAAGAAGAGAGGGACTACTGTTCTTAAAAACCTACATTAATCTGTAAAAATTGTTTAGATGGACACAGACTAGATGTTTTAATGTACCAGCTGTCGTCATTGTGATTACTTCACAGTTTGACTCTTAATTTTCCTTTAGTAGGAACCAAATTTTGGTTGTGAGTTGATCAACGTATTGAAGCGATTTGAGTCAGATCTGTTAACATAACTGTTAATCCAAGTTCTTAAATTTTAGTACTCATTTTAGACAAGTTCTTGTTCTTTCCTGTTATTTAATTGTTTAAATGTTTTTCTTTCAGGGTACAATGGAGGAGAAGATTTATGAGCGGCAGGTAACTAAGCAGTCTCTGTCATTCCGGGTTGTGGACCAGCAGCAGATCGAGAGGCACTTTACGATGAACGAGCTGGCTGAGCTGTACACCTTTGAACCCGACACCCTTGACGATCCATCGGGGAAGAAGAGCAAAAAAGCTACACCTGTACTTCCCAAGGTCAGCAAAATATAATCACTGATGAGCTAGACTTTCATTTAGAAGTTATATTTAATGTGACTCCGTTGCTTTGACTGCTCATGAACTCGGACGTCATATTTGAGTGATACATAAAGAAATCGTTTATGAGCTGGGTGAAATGATTAACTTTAGTCGGGGCTTTTTAAGCACCCAAAGAGTCTGATTAGGTTATGTTTGTTCATTTGTTAGCCGTTTTCTGCTCAACCTTTCACCTTTTAAACAAATTTATGGGAACTTGTTGGGAAGTTACATGAGAGTCTGCACACAGTGTTGGCATTTTCTGCTTCCCACTTTCTTACTGGAGTGTTTGCCCTTTTCTGTTTCAAATATAGAGAATTCCTATCAGGGTGCATTACAATGCCTTTTAGGTGTTGGGTTTTTTTCTTTAAAAATGGCACGAAAAACAAGTTTATTTTTCCAAACTTGCAGAGAATAGCATGTTCTGTCTTTAGAAATTTATAGTGTTACTAAACTGTTAGTACTTGTGAGCTGCATTTTTCTGATTCTCCTTTCACTTCTCATGTTGATGCAGGTGTTTTGTCACTATTTTGTCCCTCTGGGGTTTAATAAGAACCCACAACCCTTACATGGGCCATCCAGCCCTTCACAGCTGCAAAGATCTGTCTGTTTACTGTTATTTACTAAATACACTCCTTATTGATACATTGCTGCTTCTCTGCTATAAACTTGCACTCTATTTTTTTTTTCCTTCATTCATTTTTTTATGTCTTTTACTTCTCTGAAGATCTTTTTCCTACACCCTTCCAGTCGTATTTGGGTTTATTAATTTATTTTGCTTAAGTGGTTCTACCTCTTTGTTTTGGTTTAACCTGGGTTACTTTGCAGGAAACTGTAAACAAAATGGATAAAGGAAACATTATATGCAGCTTGCTTTTCTCTGAATGGACAGTTAAAGGCTTTTCAGTCTATTTTTATAGGGAATCAGTTTTTCTATTGCCCTGTAAAACAGTTTTCTTTTACAAATCTCTCCACAAATTTGCTGTAGCTGTTCCATCTTTATGGTTTTCTTAATACTTAACCTTGTTATAGCTGTACGAACCCCAGAAACATTTTCATGATGTGCACAAGTGTATTTACATTCATTTGTGCTTCCACGTCTTCATGTACGATGTTTCTGATTGTGAGCCTTCATCAAGCTTTTCCACATTGACATTCACCCCAGTTTACCATTACCGTTTTTTTGTTTGAACATTTAGTTGTAATTTCCTGCTTCTTCCAGTGTTAAACAAGTCAGAGGTGTGAATTTTTGTAGTTTTTATCATTTAATTTTAATTCAGCTCACCGGTCAGTGATTGAATGCACCAGAAAATCAAATTTAAATACTGGTATATATTTTTTATTAATACATTTTATAAATTTTTTATTGTTTTTACCCGCTTCTTCCTCTTCGGATCACGGGGGTCACGGTTGTCCGTCTTGCCCATGTCCAGCAGTCACTGTGCAAGAGGCGGGGGAGACACCCTGGACAGGTCTCCAGTCCATCACAGGGACACATAGAGACAAACAACCATTCACTCTCTCACACCTAGGGACAATTTAGAGTTAACAATCAGCCTAACATGCATGTTTTTGGTCTGTGGGAGGAAACTGGAGTACCCGGAGAAAACCCACACATGCACAGAGAGAACATGCAAACTCCACCAAGAAAGGCCCCGGACCGGGATTTGATCCAGCAACCTAATCACTGAGGCGGCAGCTCTACCAACTGAGTCACCATGTCGCCCACATTCATACACTGATGGGACACACATTGGAAGCAATGAGGGTTCAGTGTCTTGCCCAGGGACACTTCAACATGTGACTGTTGGAATAGAAGGGAATCGGCTTGTTTTTAGTGCATTAGTAATTAATCTCATTAATGTTTAAGCTTAACAACAGTACATCTGTGCTATAATCCAAACAAAAATGTTACGACTATGCATCAAGCAACAGTAAATTTAGTTTAGGGCGTCCAGAGTATACTCGCCTGTTTTTTTTTATATATTCATAGAGTAAAAGTACTCCCAAAGTTGATGTAATGTGCATCATATTTAATATTTTGCTGTGCATATTTTTAACCTCTGCCTCTCACTAAATCATAATTGTAGGCTTTTTAATTAATATTATTATTTTAGATTTGATTAAGTCGATTAGAACTTTATTGATATCTTGGGAAGATTCCTTCAGGGAAATTAAAAAACTTTTTTTAACCTCAAATAAAGATTTTCTCTGGAGATTCTACATTGACAGCCCACATTTTGGGGGCAAAACTACTTCTGGTTTTTGTACATTTAAGGTCTAACTTTGACATGACTGGACATCGTCCTGCTGGTAGTATTTGCCTCTTCTTATTCCTCTAATCTAGAAGAAGCATAGTGATAGAAAGAAACCGATATTAGGAGAGAACATTGGCTCATTGAGCTGCAGAATGTTAGTCTTATAATTCTTAATGGGCCTAGTGACATTTATGTGACATGATTTTAAAGACAGAGGGGCTGATGAGTCCTTGAACAGGCTGCCCTGTTGTGGTCAGTCGGGTAACTATAATGTGGCAGCAGGACTGAAGTACAATGGAAGGAATTTGCCGTCTGGAATAATGGGAAGATGAGTCAGACACCCTCCATCACTTTCTGCCAAAAAGGCTCTACACAGAAGGAGAAAAGTATTTGAGCCTCAGCAGATGGAGATCTGTACTTTCCTCAACTCTTCGTGCTGGGAAAATGTGGTGTTCTCCGCTGGAAAGGTCAGATTCAGGCTTGTTTGAAGAAAAAGGGCATTTGTCTGCTGTGGTTATTTCAGCAGCTGTTATCCAACCTTTAAAAACCAAATCGTCCTCTCCTCTTCTTTACTCATGTTCCCTCTCCCACCACCATTACCCCACGGCATCCTTTTCCCGCCATCTTCAAGAGCATCTGTTGTTATGACTTGGCACTTTACAGACTTTGAACATTTTCTGGCATTTTTTTTTCTCCCCCTCTCCTGCCTCTGGCCTTCCCTGCATGATGAAGGGTCATTATTTTAAACCCCCTCTTAAACACGTCTTGCTGCTCTTCAGAAAATCTAATTGGAGACAAAGGAAGCAAGCGCACTTCCCCTTAATGACAAAGAAGGTCCTTGTAGCCCAGACATGAGGTTTTGACAATCCTACCCACCCACTCTGAGATATTCTTCCCTTCTCCCTCTTAATCAGAGTTGTCTTTCTTTACCTGACATGCTTCCACATGCACTGTAGGAAGTTCAGAGGTGGATTTTGGAGTATTATTTTAATACAGATTTACAACTTTCTCTGAGAATGTTGCTGCATTGTGTTGTCTTGGAGGTCTGCATGCCCCTGTGTACTTGCTCTCAGCAGGCGATGGCTGCAGTGGTCATTAAGCCCTGGCAGGAACGCTTAAATGCTGCGGGCAGGCTGTACGCAAGCCTTGCTTTAGACAGATGCAGACTGCAGCAATAAACCACACCATGCCTGTCTCATTATGGGTAGGAAGTCACTTTGACCTTAAAGGAAAAATCCTCCCTTAAATACCTTTTCAGCTATACATCAGTGATCAATGGATCACAGGAGTTGTTTTGTGATGACGGTGTTATAAATTAATTCTTGGTTGTAGCAACTCTCGACATACCCTCCCAGTATCTGCTTGGTGAAATGGTTTCTTTTACGTCTGAGAGTGTTTTTTTGTTTTTTGCCCAGCTCCTCACAGTGCATGCCTGATCTTGTTGGCTGCAGGTGGAGAGAGCACTAATGATAGCAGCAGCAAAGAACAGTTGTTGTAGGTGAGAAAAAGCAAGAGGCATCGTTGACCCTTGATTGCAACACTCTGGTCCTTTGAAAATATCTGGAGACACTGGCGTAGCTAAAGAAAAACTTGCTCATGTTGAATTACTTTTACAGCTTCTGCTACGTTTCTTAAAGACCAGCACAGAAAACATTTGCACAGTCAGTGCTTTGTTTTTTGTAGATTGTGTCAGTGAGCTGAAAATTCACTTTCATGAACCAGTAACAAAACAAGCATTCAGATTTTTAAAGGCTTTTTAATTCTGTTGGAAAGAAAATGTAATGAGTTGGTCTTGAGGTGATATAATATTGTGTAGGAAAAAACTAGAGTTTAAGTGCTTTTCTCTAAAGTAAAATATAATGTTAATGTTTTCTATGTCGTATCTAGCAGTCTGTCAAATTGTCTCGCATGTTAGGAAAAAAAATAGGAGGTTGAGTTACATGACTACAATCTTTTAATCTAAGATTTAGCTAAATTAAACACACGCCTTTCGAACAGTCTAAAGCAGTCTAACATAAAAGATTAAATTAACTTTGATAAGAATTGATTAAAGTTGTCATTTACTTTGCCGTTGCTTTTAGGAATTTTTTTTGTTTTGCAAGTAAATCAGAAGAATCTACCTCCCCACTCCTGAACTTCATTTACCTCTTAAAGTTTTTAAAGAACCATGACAGTTTTTAAAAATTCCCCGTCTTGTTAAGTCCTCCTGAATCCTTCCTGATCTACCAGCAGCTCCAGCTGTCTGCCCCCACCCCACCCCCAACATGGCTGCTAGCTGAGGCTTGTTTTATAACGATTTGTTATTTTTATTGTCTTTTTAAGGCCTTTGTGACATGCATGATTTTGTTTCTTTCTTAACTGACTGACAGGTGGATAATCCGTTCACCAATTGTAGAGCCTGGAGGGTGTGAAGGCAATGTGGCACAGGAGTGGGGGTGTCCATTTGATGCTGGCAACAGCACTCAGATTTCAGAGCATTTCTGGAAAGAAACTGTTAATAGCCCGCCAGTAGAGTTGTGTGTGTATCGCTGGAGTGCAGCTGGTGGACGGGGAGTTTTGTCTGGCTATGTTTAGGTATTAGAGATATCTCAGGCGCTCGCATTCCTGCTGTTGGGATCCTGTCTTGGCCCCCGTGGTTGCTATGGTTAATGCACCTGTGCGTCAGAAGGAGTTTCTTGCAGACACGGCCATTTGAATTCATTC